AAAATAAAAAATATTTGTTAGTAAAATTAAAAACTTTTATATGTAAGAAAAAATATATATTTTATTAATTATAATTAATAAAAAATTTAAAGCATTGTATTATTTTTAATTGTTACTATATTTTATTATTTTTTTAAAATAAATAAGTTCAAGTTTTTTTATTTTTTTTAATTTTTAATAATTATTATAAATAATAATTATAAAAATAAAATATATTTTAAATTTTATATTAAAAATGAGATATAATATAATAAATAAAATATTTTTTTAATATATTTAAATATTTTATATAAAATATATTCAGAATATTTTACAAATTATATATCTTACTTATTTATAATACTTTTTTTATTTTTCTTAATATATTATATTTTAAATATAAAAAAAGTTACAAGATTCAGAATACTTTAACTTATAAAATATAATAATTATATTTATATCATAAATAAAAAACTTTTTATTTTAAAAATAAAATTTTTAATCTTTAAAATTAAAAAAGTAATTTTAAATATTATTATAATAAATTCATGAATTTGTAAAATAAAATCAGAAAATCAATTTTATTAAATTTTCTTTTTAAATTAAAAAAAATTTGCAATAACTTAGTAATTAGAATAATACTTAAAAAAATATATATTTAACTATAATTTATAAACTTTATTTTAATATAAAAATAAAAATTATAAACTTTAATAGAGAAAGAAAATTTCAATTTTTATTATATTTTATTAATAAAAATAATCTGATTTCATAATTATAGAAGTTATTATATAAATATTTATTTTCACATAATAACTAGAAATTCAAATTGGATAACTTTTTCGCTTACAAATTCTTTGATTATATTTGGTCAACTATATCTAGCTGCGCTGTTGAACTTTATATAAAACTCTTTTGGATAGTGACTCTCAAAGAATGAATCGAAGTTTCGTTAATTATCGGAAATAATTTCCCACAATATTGCGCAGCAAACATATCACACAAAAATCATCGCCCCTGGCACGAACTAACTACGCGTAACCCAAGGAGATCATCCAACAATTAACATAAAAAACCATACACGTCCAATTTCTTTAAATACCATTTGCAATAATGAATAAGTGGCGAGTAGGAATACAGAAAGCTACCATTCAAGCAGTACTCAATTGTCAATACACCTTTTCATCTGACGAAGATAGTAAAGTTGTACATCTTGACCGAAACAGCGTTGACGCCGAACTTCTCAAAGTAAAACTTTATCGTGATGCGTCAATTTTACGACGAGAGGTTGTCAAGGAAAAGCAAGAAACGCCTGTTATAAGAGTAATTGACGGGGATTGCCTGGTTGAGGCAATATCTTTGAAAAAGCAAGGGTTCAACCCGTTGGTATTGAACATGGCTAGTTCAACTAATCCAGGTGGAGGTATGTCAGTCATTCCGAGTCTACTGCTGTTCATATCTCTGAAATCCGATAGTCATTAGGATTTATTCATTGTTAAGGATATAAGTCGGGCGCTGGGGCTCAAGAAGAGAATTTATTTCGTCGAACAAATCTTTTTCAATACCATGAACCGAAACGCGATGAATGGTATCCAATACCGGAATATGGAGGGATATATTGTCCAAATGCGAGTGTTATACGTGCTAGTGAGCAAGAAGCATATGAATGGTTGGAAGTTCCGGAAACCATGTCATTTGTGGTAACATGAAATAAAATTCTTTCTTTCATCAATTCTATTTCGGTCACGTTGTTATATTCAAATAAATTTTACCAGGCTGTAGCTGCCATAAAAAAGCCTAAAACAGTAAGGAACGCTAAGGGAGACCTAACGTTAACGGAAGAGGGCAAAGCAAAGACACGGAAGAAGATCAGAACCATACTTAATATTGGATTGGATAATGGTATTTATCGAGGATTCTTTTCTGCATCATAAAGATAACTAACATTAAAATTCATTTTGAAGGTCATGATGCGATTGTCTTGAGTGCATTTGGATGTGGAGCATTCTCAAATCCTCCAAAAGCGATGGCACAACTCTTCTATGAAGTTCTGTCTAATGAATACGCGGGTGGTGATGAAAATTTGCCGAAAACTTTTCGACATATTTCTTTCGCAATTTTCGATGATAAAAATGCCAATAGAAAACATAATCCCGAAGGTAATCTTTTTCCGTTCGAACAAAGATTTGCTAATGGATTAGCAATTGGTGACAATTATTGAGACAATGATAATATTGTATTATTACCCAATAGAAGAGTAGATCCTTCTTACAGAGCAAATTAATTTTGAAAATGCCAATTTTTAAATAAAGAATTATATATCGTTCTATATTACAAAGTTTCTCCTAGATCACGTTACTATCTCCGTTAATAGAATGAGTGATCCAGAAAATCTCGTCAGTATAAATGCTTTTTTTTTTATTTCCATATCTTTTTAACTTCCGCTTCAACTTTTTTCACTTGATCATTATAGGTGTGTTTTATATCAGACGTGAGCGCCTCAATTTTGTTTTTTGTTTCGTTGGTCGTCTGGGAAATGGATTGATGGACATTTACCAATGCTGGTGATTTCTGTTCGTATTCAGAGAGTTTTCTCGCAATATTATGTGATGTTACCGGTAAGAAATAATAGGAAGCTGCGATAGTGAATGCTATTGGAGTTGTTAGACGCAAAAATATGCCACCTGAATGTAATAACAATCGATGATTATCAAGTTGTGGTTTGATTAGATTAGATTAAGAGAAAATAATTTTTGCAGTCTTACGATTTTTAGCTAGTACAGAGCCTCCAAGTCCAGCAACGCCAACATACAAAACTTCAGGCATCAATCGCTCTTTAGGTGACACGACTTCATTAATTGTTCCTTTATCATATGAGTTATAGGCAGAAATAAATGAGCATAGAAAAGTGATATAGAAATATTTCTACATAAAGATCAAGAATAATTTTACTGTCAATTTTTTGTTCAATTGAGATCCAACGATCCGATACTTGTTTGAATTGCTTCTACAAAATTACAATCAACATCATCATTTATGACATATTAAAGTGAGTACTTGGGTCGCCAACCTCGACATCCTCGAGCATCTTTCTGGCCTTGAGCTTAGTTTTCGTTATAGTTTCCTCTAATTTACTAGGTGACTCCACGACCACTATATCTGGTTTTGGATCATCGTATATCTTTAACTGAAAAAAATATTTTTAATGTTTTATTGTTAAATTTTCGGGATTAAATAAAGATAACGATATTTCGCGAACCTTTAAGTAGTTTTTTATATTGTATTTGTTCCTATCATTATTATTATTATTATTATCGGCTTCGGCTAATAATAAAGGCTGTTTTAGTGTTATCGGTGTCAGTAAGGCCAGTCCTAATATCGTGCAATTCGCTATAGCTGACCAAGAGGATAATAACGACCTTGTTTCAAACTGAGAAACAGATTATTAAATGCGTTTAATAACTTCGTCATAGCATTCGATTTACCTTTTTCCTCGATAATAATAAAAATGAGTGCGAGAAGCTATTCATTTTTTACTCGAATAATAAACAAGATGTCAAATGATTTAAAAAATTTCTGATATCGAGATTGATGATCTTCCGAGAATGGCAACGCAAGGACCACCAAAGCCAAAAAACAAGAAAAAAAGTCTTCCAATAAAAGAAGACCAAACGGAAACTGACAACGTTGGCAACGTAATTGCACAACTAAAGTCCGTTGATGGTGAAACGTCTGGTCCTTCGCTCAGTTTACCTGCAAACGTTACTCCTGAACAACTTTTACTTTTGATAAATGAACTTTTAAATAATGTAAACTCAAAACGTTTAACTTATCCAAAGAATTTGTTATATTCTGAGAAATTTTTAACTTAATTAACATCATATTGATATAAATAGGAAGAGCCACTTCCATATGTCTTTTCAGTAGACGACAAGGAAATCACCACGACAATATACAAAGACATTATTCAAGGCTTAAAAAAGTCAACAGAAGATGTTTTGACGATTGTATATCGACCTCAGGCGATATTTAGAGTACGGGCTGTAACCAGGTGCAGCTCTACTTTGAGTGGTATAACACATGATAAAAACGTATCTCTTTGAATAATTCAGAATTACTGGAAAATAATTGGATCGATTGGTTTTTTTGTTTATTTTGATTATCTTTTAAGGTCATTCTGAGGCTATTTTAACTGTAAGCTTTAGCCCTGATGGATCGCAACTTGCCACAGGATCAGGTAAGGTCAAAATTGGTTATCTTGTATTAATTCAAGAAATATAATATACAACATGCATGATATCTTTAGGTGATACGACTGTTCGAATATGGGATCTCAATACCGAAACAGCTCATTTCACTTGCTCAGGTGAGAATTAATTTTGAATTATCCCGTTTCAAAATGATAAGCTTATTCATGTACATGAAATTCAGGTCATACCAGCTGGGTTTTGTATATAGCATGGTCACCCGATGGAAAATATTTGGCATCCGGAAGCATGGATAATACGGTAGGCAATATATTGTATCTGATGACATGTATCGAAATATGACGCTAATGATGATAAAATATGTTAGGTTCGTCTGTGGGATCCATTAACGGGAAAATCTTTAGGTGACGCGTTAAAGGGACACACTAAATGGATTACGTGTCTGGCATGGGAACCTTTGCATTTGTATGTCTACCACACTTTCTCTTTGTCAGCTTTACTTCTGTATATGAGTCATTCCTATGGTCCGAATCGTTTTACATCAATAATCGAGTCCGAAATCCCCTATCGATGATAATCGATTAATCTTTGGCTAGAATGGTTGCCATTGAATAACTTGAGCTATTGATTCCTAGGAATATGTCTACTGACTTGAGGTTTAGCTTAATCTACTTTTAACTTGACGATCAATAATCATCTGGATAAATTCGGCTTACCGATTGTTCTATTTATCAAGATTTCAGTGATGATTATTGAGTGTGAAATAGATTACGAAGATGGAGAGCGATTCGGACCACTAGATCAAAATTTATTGTGATATAGATGATTTAATATCGATTTGATAATTTCCCTCGTAGAAACCCAAAGTGCAATCGACTAGCATCATCGTCAAAAGATGGAACCGTCCGTGTTTGGGATGTTATTCACCGTCGTCTTTTATTTTCCATATCTCAACACACAGCAACAGTGACATGTATAAAATGGGGAGGGGATGGTCTATTGTATTCTTCTAGTCAAGATAAATCTATTAAAGTATGGGATGCTTCAGAGGTAATGAATAATTGATGAATTGAAAATTTTAGTTGCATCTTATTTCAATCTATTGAATCATTATATTGTTATTATTAACATGAAGGGTAAATTAATTAGAGATTTATCAGGTCATGGACATTGGGTTAATACAATGGCATTGAGCACGGATTTTGTGCTAAGAACAGGAGCAATCGATCATACTGGTAAAATACCACAGAGTGAAGCAGAAGCAAAAGAATGGGCTTTGGCTCGATACAATTCCGCGATAAAAAATAAACCGGAACGACTTGTTTCCGGATCAGATGATTTCACATTGTTTCTATGGGAACCATCTATCAGTAAGAAACCTATAGCAAGATTAACGGGACATCAGAAGCTTGTTAATCATGTTTGTTTCTCTCCGGATGGTCGATTAATTGCCAGTGCAAGTTTTGATAATTCTGTGAAACTTTGGGATGGAAGTACCGGAAAATTTATCGCCTCTCTAAGAGGCCATGTTGGTCCGGTTTATCAAGTGTGTTGGTCATCTGATAGTCGAATGCTAATCAGTGCCAGTAAAGATAGCACATTAAAAATATGGGATTTAAAAACGAATAAAATAAAGTTGAATTTACCGGGACATCTGGATGAGGTCAGTTAACTAGTTGGTTATGATTTTCTCGTGGATCGAAAATAAAAATAATCATGAAACCCATTTTTTAGGTGTTCAGCGTGGATTGGAGTCCTGGAGGGGATAAAGTTGTCAGTGGTGGCAAGGATCGTCAACTCAAAATGTGAGCACCATTTCATATTGTATCGTTCGAGTTGAAGGATAATTATTTTTGATTGCATTTTTTATTTTTTTACTTTAGATGGCGACATTAATAAACTGAATTAGTGGCTGCCGTAATAGGTTTAATAAAGTTGAAAGGTTGCAACTTTTTGATTTAAAATCGTAATTTTTCGTAATTGGTGTAAAAGTTCGCAATTAATATTTGTACAAAACAATGAAATTTGTAATAATGAGTAATTAAACGTACGGCCTCTTTGGGGCTCAATATCTCTAGATCCGGTGGAGAAAATTGAATGTAAGGCCCACCATTTGATTCACCAGAACCTAGGGAATCGAACTGGGTCTCGAGATATTGAGCCCCAAAGAAGCTGCACATAAAGTGTTCGTCAAAAATAAATCAGAATTCCACGCACGGTCTCTTTGGAGCTCCATATCTCGAGATCTACTGGCGGGAATATAAGTCATTCGTCAGATCGAATAGTAGACTATACACAAAAGTTCGGATCATGTGATTTTTAGGGGTGAAATGTTAATAGTGTTTCCATTTAAAGTTATTGTTCAAGTTTTTTGCTTTTGAATTTATGATCGGTAATAACAAAAAGGAGTAATAGCAAGATCAAACATGTAACGAAAACATTCAAAACATTTATAGCTTATATTGAAATTTTGCCTATGAAACTAGCTGTGAGACCAAAATAAAATCATTAGCACTACCTACACGGCCATTCTTATTTTACTCACTGTTTTCTATAAAAATGACGATTGCAGATTGAAATTTTTATAGTGGTTTTGAACGCTATGTTTATTGTGATGAAAGAGTGAATTGACGACGATAACGATGAAGATCACGGTAGGCAAAGTCTGATTATTACCAGTACAACGGTAATAATATCGAAGAATTGAATGCTTTTTTATTCCATTGATTCTAATTAGTCTAATTTTTGTTATTTCACTCTCCAAACCCAAAGATCTGTAATACGCTTACCATATTTATCAAATATAACATTCTTGGTTGGGTGATCATATGTAAAATTGTCTTCCCAACATTTTTAATTAATAGTCAAAGACAGATTTATGTATCAGATTTCTCGTAATATCACTTTTTTCATCATATTCTTCAAAATATAATCTTCATCTTGATGATTATAATTATGGTTCGGTAAATAAGGGATTTACTGTTTCATATGGATAAAGAGATTTATTTACCATTTCCTCTTGAACTTTGCCAGGCTTATGCAGTCTTTCACAACTATCTCAACAAATTTGTGATCATCTACCTTGACGATATTCTAGTATTCAGCAAAACAAAAGAGAAACATCTCGAACATTTGCGCATCATCCTGACAAAACTTCGTGAACACAAATTATACGCGAAGTGTTCCAGATTAGGAAATTTGAAATGCACCGATTATAAATTTATCCGCTACTTGTCCGGAAAGATCACCTGATTCAGCACTGTCTCTAAACACTAAGAGGTAAACCAATCAAATCGCAAGATCAATGAACCGGAGTCCATATGCATTATTATGCATATCATCGATTGACATAGGTTTAATCAATAATCAAGGGTTTCAAATTTTGCTTTACGATCTAAACCTTAGCTTAATTACGATACATTATAACTTTAGCCTTGGTTGGAATCAGGATTACAATCCAGGTTGTAATCCAAAATGATCGTAATTATTACTTACGGCCAGCAATTCTAAACTGAATTGATGGAAATGCGTTCATATAATGATTTTTATTGCATGAAATATTTTATATTAGGTGAGTATCAACAATAGAATCATATATACAAAAAATAAATCCTATAGAAACAGATCTACTTTTAACCTTCCATTTCAAAATCCAAATTTTTAGTCGAAATTCTTATGTCAAACAATTTATGCACGTTCTTTTGGTGCGTAATTAGCGAGATAAAAGATTAAAGGAAAAAAAATATCAAAAAATTATTACAATAAGATTAGAGGAAGACGGATGAATACAGAAGGGAGCGAAACAGTAAAAGGCATTCGTGCCAATTACTTTTATTACCATTATTATAAAAACAATTGACATGTAAAGAATATACAGATGAGGATATAAATGTTCGACTCAAATTATTATTAATGATTAATTAAATGTATGCTCTTAGTGGGAAAGTTCCATTATTCGAATGTTAAGAGGGAATTTGCCGTTATTTCAATTAACGAAAAGGGAACTTGGGGAATATTAGGGAGCAACAATGGGAACAAAACGTTTTTGTTTTTTCACTTTGGTGGAATTTTTGGGTTACTGCTTAACGTTGTAACTCCTTCCTCCAATTCTCTTGCGTCTTTTGGCCATACACCCACCAATCTAATCACACTCCCCCACGCTAAATCCAGCACCCATCTTGGTAAAATATTATGCACCAAAACTTGCATCTTTGCCACTGTTCCAATCACATATCGGTCCTTTGGGAAACCGACTTCAACTGCTTCCACCACATTACGCACCACCTCTTTTGGACTATCCTGACCATCATGAAGTTTCTGCCAAAACTCTATTGCTTTCTGAATATATTCTTCGCCGTATAAGCTTAATGTCTGTTCTGTGATTTCCGGTGATGCAAAAAATTTTCTTGATATCTCTACAAGTTCAGGATGAGTGAGACGTGACTTTATCGGGCCGGGTTCAATCATCACAATATGAATTCTCCAGGGTAATAATTCCACGCGAATTGTATCCAACATTGCTTCCAATGCATGTTTTGATGCGCTGAATGCCCCGTAAAATGGAACAGTTGTTCTTCCAAGTACTGAAGTGATATTCACTATGCGTGGGGAGATGTCTTGCTCCTTTGGTGGCTTCTTCAGGTTATATTTGATATTCTGTCGTAGATTCGGTAGAAGAGCTTTTATCATTTTGACTGGTCCCATGAAGTTCACATCCATCGTTCTTTTAATTTGATCTGTTGATGTGAACTCGAATGCAAATCCTTCATTGCATCCGGCATTATTGATCAATGCAAAGAGTCCTTTCTCTTTTGTTTCATTGGTAACCATGCGCGCACATTGCTGAACCGATGTGTCTTTTGCTACGTCAAGCAAGAATGGGCGAAAATTTGGTGAATTATTATGTGAAAGAAATTCTTTAAATGCTGCTTCAGTTAAACATCCTGTCATCAATGAACAAATAAAGGAGTTATTAGATGATGATGATGATGATGATGACGACGACGATAAACGAACTCTCCAATCATATCAAAATGACGTCAAAATGTGCTACAAATAAAGCCACATTAAACCCGACTGATGTGCGTGTGTATGCGCTTTACCACAGCCTTTCAAACTATCAAAAAACAAAAATTTTGATTTCGTTTTCACCTGCAAGAACATGATATCCCCTTGTGTGTAGAGCTTTCGCGATCAAATTTCCTATGCCCGAGTCGCAACCAGTTACGAGCACATAACGATCGGCAAACTTTTGGTTAGGAGGTGGCGACGAGAAAAACGTACCAATATAAGATATGATACCCATTATTTGGCCGCGTTTTGTTGTGAAATAATAGATTTTATTTTTTTGATGTGATATTTATTTAATAGCGTACATGTTCTTTTTAAATCTTTAGTGTGAGTATAAAGATGTACCACGCATATAAAGATATGCAATGCATATGATGGAAAAAAATCGATGTAGCATAAATGCACGTGGAGTTTTCCGCTTATGGAACAATAGCATATATTTCAAAACCTTTTGCCTTTTCGCCCTTTCGTGTGTTACTTCTGAAATGCGATTTTCACGTGACCGTTTATGAAAGGTGGCGTTTTTTAGAATCTTAGGGCTATTGGAAAATCCATTGTTACATCATACATTATTGTTATCACTCAATTTGGATAATTTAAATAAACTTCTATTTAACTTGTGATGACAAAATCTATTAAATCACACTATTATTTAAATCTGATCTATCATTCTTCTGCATTTTTCCTCGGTCGTACATCATTCCGAATAGGAATTTTTAGACCTTGTTTTGCGAAGGCTTTAGATAGTTCGGTAGATTCTATGCAATATATATAGAAAAAAAAAAAAGATGAAGAAATTAAAATTTATTGGACCCAGCACATTAGTTCATCCAATCAAATAAAAAGTTACCCGTCATTCCCGGAAATTTCTTAGCAGAAAATACTGTGAACTGATCCGAAAAGGCGGTTGAAATTACATTACTCTTGGTAGTAATTAAACGATCATCACTGAATCCACCCAAAACGAAAATCAAAATCAAAAATTTTTAAAGTAACAAACAAAGGAGAGAGATAGTAATCGCAAGAAAGATCATACTAACATGCCCAATTTCAATAACGAGAATTTTAAAGTATAAGTTCCCTCCGTTCGTATGGAAAGATCCGGAAAACAAAAATAACAACCTTGTTCTCCCTCGGTGTTTTTCAATAAAGCGGGAGATGATACTAGTGAACCCATGAGAACACGTGTAGTTTTTGGTGGATTACTTATCACATTTCGCTCATGTCTTCGATCTTCCGACCAAAGTGTGACGTGAAGAACAAAGAATGGATTTTGTAACATGCTTTAATTATAGTGAAATAGTAAAACGGTCGTTAATGGATTGGCATAAGATGGTTTCTTTTTCACGCGTTTTTTGAATTAATAACGGATTACTCGTCATAATCGAATAAATACCCTGCATCAGGCTGCCCTTTTTCATCCAATACCACGAGCTGTACTATTGGAGGAGGATCAACGGGTCGTCTGTCTTTTTCACCAAAACCACACATTCGAGCTCTTAAAGGTTGCTGACACACCACAAGATTGTATTGCCTATATTGGGGGAAAAAATGACTTGATCAATTGGGTATACACAAAAAGGCCAACCATAATATCTTGAATTTTATTTTAGAAGAAAGAAACTTTCTATGAAATACACTTTACAAGAAATACACCGTCTAGGTCATATTTGTGTTGGGTCTTGAGCCTTATGACTTATCAGGAACATCACGTCTATAAATACATGATCCTCTTTAAATGCTCAATCCCAAATGAATGTTGAATTTATGGAGGTTTCTCTATATTTAATTCATGTTCCTTTACCTTTTATCTTCCTCTACAGGGGTTGTCTCAAAAGCATCGAACCGATCTTTATGAATGAATTTTGGTTTGTGCGTATTCGAACTTGGAATATTCTTTGAATTTTTTAACTTATCTCCCTCCCCTAGTGGTGGGGTGTTAATTGGTGGGGTACCACCAGGTCTATAATGGTGCGTAGGTGGTAGCATTGGTGGTCCCATTGTTCCATGGTGATAAGGTAGATATGGTGGAAAGTCATAATATTGATGCATTGATGGTGCCAAGTTTGGTGGTATTCGATAATAACTTTCCGGAGGTGGGTAGTCACCACGCATTGAGGAGTGATACTCACCTTGACCGGGAGGAGAACCTTGAAAATGTGACGGCAGACTTCCGTGGGGTTGGCTATACATTTTTGACGTTTTATCTTATGCAAATTATCAAAACTAATAAATATATCAACGAAAAAATTAGAGATTGAAAGAGGTATCAATGGGTTGAGCTGGTGACGGAAATTGAGAGGGAAAGAAACACGGTTAACATAAACAATCATGTGAGTCTAACTTGAAAAGGGATGCCCGTTCTTGGGAAGGATTTAGGTATTACCTGCTTTTTTGATTTGATTGATAAAGAGAACCAATTATTAAGGTTACATTTGCGATGGTTTCTCGTAACACAAATTAAATTGACCAGTTTTTTGGCATAAATAAATCAGGGGCTGGCACATTTTCCGGTTTATTGGGTCGAACGCGTCTTGGATGCATCATCCCTTTTCACACGTAGAGAATTCGCGGCTAAAAATATTCTTGCTCGGTCGCATCCCCCATCCAAATGCGACGTCGCGTCTTCTGTACTCGGTATCGTCAAGGTTACATTCGGCTTTTAAAATTAATTGTTTCTTGAAAACAGTCTTTCTTCCTGTGCATAAAATAATAAACGTCCCTTTTTTTTCTTCTGAATGAAAAGAAGCACAAAAAATTTCTTAAAATACCAGATATTGTTATACAAGTTTGGCATTTTTTAAAATGCAAGTAAATCCGTATAACATTTGGAGGATCTCGACACAGTGTAACACAAAATTCTACAAAGATGATGACGAATTAACCATGACAATGACAATAATAATAAAACTTGGCTAAAAAATCAGGTGCAACATCAGAGGAGAACCAAATTTATATTCTGATCACAAAAGTATATGAATGCTTTTATCGGTTTAGTTAAATTGAGAGTTCGATTTTTAATTATTAACACCATAAATTGTTATTATGCATGTATGAAAAATTAGAGTGGCATTGCATTCTGCTAATGTATCCTCTTCTTTGGATATGCAATTACTCGAAGAACAAATCTTTTTATGCTGTTTGTGACTTTGATCCTCCTTTTACGGGATGACATTGTTTTTGTAGCAATCGTTTACATTACAAAAAAATTTTGCTCAAAGTATTGCGAGAGATACATTTACAGTCACACCTGTATAATCACTTCCCAATTATGAGAAATTCGATCTTCATACAGTCACAATTCCTTTAAAGTCACGCTCTTTCTTGTACATCAGTTAAAAAAAAATTAACTGTTTATGAAATAAGTTATGTCTATAAATTATTGCAGGATGTGGCGTGAAGTAATTCCAAGACGCTTTGGATTTGTAAACACAAATAGATGTAATTCTTTGACAAATCAAATAACAGCTGATGGAAAATTAATGTTTGACACCATAAACATCTTTTCAGCGTTATTAATAAAAAATCTTATAACCCCAGAATTTCCTTGCTTTTTTCACGGATCACATTCTTCTTAATTTTCCCAGTTACAGTCTTTGGAAATTCATCGACAAATATTACGTCGCTCGGTATTTTATAATGAGCAATTTTTCCCTTGCAAAATTGTTGAATATCTTCTTGTGTCACAGCACTATCCTGTTTTCGAATTATCCACGCACAAATTCGTTCACCTAATACGGGATCAGGTACACCAACTACGGAGATATTCGAGACACCTGGATGTTCAAAAATTAAATTCTCTACTTCGAGTGGAGCTATCTTCTCTCCACCACGATTTATTTGATCTATTGAAAATTTAATAATAGTTAATAATAGCTACTATTATTATCATTATGTTCTCAAATAAAAAGATTGATAGAATAAAATGAAAAGAACCACCTTTAATGCGACCTACTATAGTGCAATAGCCTTCTTCATCAATAATTGCGGTATCACCTGATTCCATTCATTATATATTTTCCTAGTTAATATATTTAAAAAAACGCTAAAGCGACACGAGTGCTTACCTGTATGCATCCATTTTATTCCTTTCTCATCAGTACTCATAGTCTCTCGTGTTTTCTCAACATTATTCCAATAACCTCCCTCCATAACCACGTAACCACTTGTGCATAATTCTCCGGCTGTATTCAATGGCAAAATTTCATGCGTCTGTGGATCAACCACCTTTGCACGAACATGTGGTAATATTCTTCCGACTGTCTCAACACGTTTATGCAATGGATCAGTCTTTTGAGTTTGGAAGGAAATTGGTGACGTCTCCGTCATCCCATATGCGATGGTAATTTCAGAGAGATTCATCTTCTCAATGACATCTTTCATGACTTCGATCGGCATTGGGGAACCAGCAGCTATTCCGGTCCTTATCAATCATGAAATTTACCTGATTAATATATTTAATATGAATTTAATACTCATTCTAAAAAAAACAATACCTTAAGCTAGCTAAGTTAAAACTGCGAAAATTTGGATGATTCAACTCTTCAATAAACATGGTTGGCACTACATTTCAAGATATCATATAAATATATCATATATTGATTTAACGAAAAAACGTGTGATTAATTAAATAATACCGCCATGCAATCCGGTACATTTTTCCTCTTCGATAGCACGAAGAGTTGCTTCGACCTCAAAACCTTCACTTGGATACACGACAGAAGATCCTTTTGTCAAAGCTGCCAGATTAGCTAACACAGCACCTTTGATTATATTGGATGGTTATATATTATTAATGAATTAAATCATACATTCCGATAAATTTAATTTCTGAAAACATACCGAAGCAATGATAGAGAGGGACAGGAACACATAATACATCATTCGGTGTAAAATTCATATTCTCAGCGACCGCCTGATTTAAACAAAGATCTCAATTTACAATAGAGATCAAGCAAACAATAAATTATATTTGAGATTTAATCGTGCACTGACCTCTGCATTATTCAGAATGTTTCGGTGTGATAAAGAGGCACCTTTTGGTGCGCCTATTCATATGAATAAAATTATGCTTAATCGATGCATTTTAATAATGAAAAAATGAATGATATAAATTATTAAATAAAAAATTACCGGTGGTTCCAGAAGTGAATTGGATATTTATAATGTCATTATTTGATAATGTTTTTCCTATTTCTTTCACCGGATCATTACCCCAAACGTCATATTGAAACATCTCATGAAATCTCATTAATCCTTTGACACCTTCAAGATTTTCTGTGGGACGATGTGTATCGACGACTATGATTTGTTTAAGATCCGGAAGTTTCTCTGATACCAAGGAATTCGGTTCACAGAAATTCAATTCTGGTGCAAGTTCTTGAATCATTTTTATATAATGTGATGATTTGAAACGCGGGGTGAGCGCAAGTGATTTTACACCAACAAGAGTGAGCGCCTGCTCTAACTCATGTACTCGATAGGCGGGATTGATAGTCACCAGAATAACCCCGATTCTACTGGTTGCGTATTGCAAAGTAATCCAAGCGGAATTATTTGGCATGAAAACACCTAAACGATCCCCTCTCCTTAACCCACTACTATGTAGACCACGAGCTAGAGCATCAATCTGCTCTCCAAACTGACGATAATTCCAATGGAGATTATTTTCGTGTTTCACAACGACTGCTTGACGGTCGCCATATTTTGAGATAATATCATCTAAATAATTCCCAATGGTTGTTTCCAAAAGAGGCTTATCCCTTGTACCTTCCACGTATGAAAGGCTACTTTGACTTCGAAAAGGCGAAACAACCAAAGGCCGATTTGGTTTTAAAGAAGTTCTTAAAATGTGCAATAGACGCGATTTAGCTGTAGAAGTTTGACAAAAGGTTAAATGCCGAAACATAGTTCAATAGTAGCTCGTGACAATAGAAAACCAATTAACAAAATTACATGAAAGTATAAGTATTCGGCTTTTCTATGCTTACAGCATAGCTCAAATAAAAATCACTAAAAACAGCATAATTCAATAAAATTATAAAATTGAATATAGCATCAGTTTGATCAACCCGGCAAAAAAAAGAACATATAATCTTGTCCAATCATTATCCTTATAAATCATTAAAACCATTAATAGTTGCGCTGAAAATTTAAACTTTTACTCTGTTCAAAATTTAGACGGGTTATATTTGAGTATGAGCATTAATTTTTTTATTTGAGAGTTAGAATAATGTGTAATTTTTAAGACTTGAACTATAAGATGTTTTCTGTTTTTTACATGCTGATCTAAAAGTTTTTCCAAGAGAGTAATATCCTTTCTTTATTGTTAATGTCGATTCCATTTTTTGTATCAAATAACAATATATATTCAAAGTAAAGAATAATTTCTTTCGTAAGTAATCAAGATTATTTGAACTTTTTTATATGTATTATCTATAATATAAATTTCATATATTACCGAACTTGAAAATTAATTATGCATATACGTATCAAACAATTTTTTAGAAATTGGGGTGGAAATCTTAGTGTCCAATATACAGGGGGGGGTATCAAAAGTATTGTACGCTTTTATTTTAGCAACAAAAAAAAATTTTATTAAGATAACAATTAATTTTATTTTATATTTAGAATTAGTACTTTAATATTTTGTATGTTCTCCATTAGTAGCAATCACAGCCTGAATTCTATTTGATATTGATTGTATCAAGTCATGATATACTTTTTTCAGAATCGCTTCTCAAATATCTTTCACTATCTTTTCAAGTTCATCAACACTTGAAGGCTGAGAATTGTGTTTTTGAATTTCTATTTCAATCGTAGCTCACAAGTTCTCACTTGGATTGAGATCAGAACTTTGAACAAACTATTGGAGCATCTTTATATTTTGAGAATAAAGAAATTCTTATGCAATCTTTGATGTATGAACTGGTGCATTGTCTTCCTGAAAAATGAATTTTTTTTTGATTTGCCAGGAAAATGCTTTGAGTGTGAGAACTGCATAAGTGGAAAGTATCTCTTTGTATATATTTCCAGTTACTGAACCTTTAAGTGGAACAATAGATCTTAATTTTAAAAAGGAAAAACATGTTCAAAATATTCTTTGTGAAAAATATTTTACTATTGATGCAATGCAATCTTCATGAAATTCCTCTTTTGGCTTTTTTCACACTCTTTCCTAATCAGATTTTTGAAACTGTGAAAATATAGATTCATCTGACCAGACTATCTTTTTCCAATCTTCTAAAGTTCAGTATCTTCTTTCTATTATCCAAGCAAGTTATTTGGATTTGTTGATTGTTAAAATTAAAGGTTTTTTTCAAGGAATATAAGAATGTAAATTTTTCTTCTAAAGTGCTCAACAAATTATTGATATAGATATTTTTTTATTGATTTTAGCAGAATATATATTAGTAATTTCTGCTAGATTTTTTTGTCTTGTTTTCTTGTTTTTGAGAACCATAGTCTTTGTTTTTTTTTGACTATCAATCAAGCATGATCAATCTGATCATTTTTTGGAAGGTTCTCCTGATTTATAAGCTGCAAGATATCTTGTAATTGTTGTTCAATAACATCCTATAACTTTTGCAATTTCTGTATTATTGTGGCCTAATTTTTTGGCTGTAATAATGCTTTTCTTTTGTGTAGAAGTTAATTCTTTACCAAGATTCATTGCGCGAAAAATTGAAAATAATAGAGAATTTTAAATTACGTTTTATAATCTGTAAAAGATTAAATCAAAACAATAAACAATAATCCATTTAAGTAATATATAGGCAAATATGGTATAAGAATCACATGGACAGTTTCATATTAATAATTTTATTAAATCAGTTAAATTTGATCGTGCAATACTTTTGATACCCCCTGTATGCTCATGGAGACTCGGTTTAACAGATTTTTAACATATTGATCGAATTGCACGTTCTCAATATTCTCTCGAAAAAATTTGTGAATTTTTAACAACCTTTTTACCTAGGCGACCAGTTCTGTTGAGAAGATTCTAAAAAGTACTCAGGTCATAGGTAAGAAAAAAAACAAAGAATTAAAAGAAACTACTTGGTAAATCAAAAATTCTTTGCATGTAATGTTGTTTGTCCGATTATTGATGGCCGCGTCATTGACCAATTTAACGCTATTATGACTGATTATCAACATCCATTGGTGTGGTTTTGTCAGATGTTTCTGATAAGGAATTGAAACAACTTCAAGCTCCTTTGATCCCTCATTCGCATAAATTTCTTTTGAATTATCAGTTTCCTCATCATTCTCCTCGAATTCTTTTGAGTTATCAGTCTCTCCTTCATTCTCATCGACTTCTTTTGAATTATTATTAGATTTCCCTCCATTATCATCGGCATCAGTTAATTTTTCGGTATTTAATTGCTCTTCGACGTCCATTTCGTTAACTGATTCCTCTTCAGTCTTACTTCTTTCCATATTCTTATTAAAATCTATTTTTTCGGTATTTGACTGTTCTTCAGCGTCCATTTGAGTGTTTGATTCTTCATTTTTTTTCTCTGATAATAATTCAAGCGCTTCTTCGATTTTTCCTATGGTTCTTTTCAATGCTCGTTGCGCACCCTGCTCTGGAAATCCCATATTAACCAATTTTCGGACCAGAGTTGGTGGTGGTTGATACCATGCATAAAAACAGTGCATTAACGACATCATCAGCTTTTCCGGTAAGTCTTGGGAGGACCATTCCCATATTCCATACAAATCGCCATCGATTTGGATTAAAATATAAAATCGAATTTTCATTCCGATCACTTGGAAGAAGGGAATTGATACAAGTTTCAACTCATCTTGAATTTCTAAAGGGATAGGATTAACTTCACTTTCTTCTATGCATTTTTTCTGGAAACTGATATGCGGTGATCTGGCGACCTTGATAATATCCACAAAATTGGTGACACTTTTTATAGTGATCTTTAAACATGGACTTGGTGTTCTCACCAACATCGACCTCACGTCCATGCTTTTCAATATTAGCTTAAATTCTTAAATTACATTTTATACAAACTTTAAGACAGAACTTACCTGGAAAATGAAATCGTAGGCTTTTACAGTTCGTTCTGTTTGTGATCGGGAAGACTTTCCGTCCCTATCTGCATCCGAATAACTTTCTCCACTATAAGCAAAGAATTGTTAATTGATATATTTAAGATTTTTATTAGTCTTTGTCTTATGAAAAAAAGTCTCACGAAATTTACACTGATAGTAGCGATACATTATATGTCTTTATTTAATATGAAATAGTTTCGCCATTTTTTTCTAGCACCCCCTCACATCGTCTACTCATCGAATTTACCAAAGATTTTAACATTGATTCGGGAATTTTATTCCATTCCTCGATCATATATCGTTCTAATTTTTTGGCATGCGTTTCTCCACGTGTTGTTTGACAATAGCCCATAGATTTTCGATCGGATTTAAGTCTGGGCTATATGAAGGCCAATCCATAACCACAGGGACATTTTCTCGAAGAAAACCCATGGCGAGACGATTACACTGGTATAAATCACATGAAAATCTTTGCCATTTTTTTCTGTATGTCCACCATACCGATTTCAATGTTAAGCAAGGAGCAAATACTCTCAATTCCTCGAGTCCGAGCTGTTCCATTCCATTTTTTATTAATTCCTCCATCACTATTTGTTTCCATTTCTTTTCTCCTTGCACCAATATAGATATTTTCTACCTAACTCATCTTCAGCCTCAACATCCGAAAGAAATTCATCGGCACGGGGATGATTGGGACACGGGAAGATATACTTAGCCCTAAGATCAACAATATCCCAGCACAGCGAACTATATAATAATATGTCATTGAAGAATTCAAAGACTAATTAATACACATTGTCAAACAAGCCATGTTATTTTCTCTTGCATCGTTGATTCCTTTTATCAGCTTATCATAGAGGGTGGACGAATCGTCAATCTTAAGGCTTTTCCGAGAATCCTTTGTGATAAAGAATAAAAGATGAAGAAGCTCTATAACCGGATCATGATTATCATAATTTGAAAACTACCCTTCCTGATCTTTTTGTTTTCTTTTCCAGACATATCAACCTTTCTGAAAGTTGATCCTATACCTACTGCGGATCTATCCGACATTTTTAAGTTGTGAAAGTGAAACGAGGATCCGCCAATGGCTTAGACTGCATAGACTCATTCTTCCACCTTCGTGACTCGTGGTAGTCAGGCCGATCGCCCTTAGATGAAAAAAAGCAAAGTTAATACCAGTACCTTTGTTAATTTTCATCTTCTCCCATCAGGTCGACTAAAAGTCTTGAACACAAGCAGAGAAACTAGAAGTTCGCCTGTGCCCCGCGCTGGTTTTGTAGCTCGACTAAAAGTCTTGAATGAACAAGAAACTAAAAGATTGCTTGCCACACTACTTATTTTTCTACCATATTAACAAAAATGTTTTTTGCCTTCTTGTAAGATAACAGCTTCTTTTCGTTTGTCAACGAGTGACAGTGTATTATTAATTGATAAAAGACAAAAGCAACACTATTCGACGAGTCGTTAGGATTTTTTATTCCTAGAGCCGACGTCCTACTCAAACCGAATAGTGTATACTTTCGCTGAGAAGAAAAGAAGTGTGGGCGCGCCGGTCAACGAGGGTTTGCGCTTTTTCTCGCCTTGTTTTTCCCATATTATACACGTCGAACTTTTTTTTTGAAAGATTCTTCCTCGCATTCTTTTAAAAAATCAGCCAAATTCGGTAGCAAGAATCGTGTTTACAAAATCATATGAACTACACGTCAACAAATGAGTATATATTTTACCAACGTTTTACGATAAACTTTTTGACTCGAAGTTTGTCTCGAAGATTGTTTATGGCAATGTCTGAAAATAAAATTCACGACTACCTTAAGCGAAAGTCTGTATACTTGCATTGCAGAAAAAAATATAAGGTTGAAACCTTGCAAAATGCGAGTGACCAAGTTTTGGAAGGAGCCTTTGTTGGAATCTACGGCTCAGAAACAAGCAAAAAACACTACCACTAATGAAGAGAAAACAACTCATCTGTTTGACGCGTCGCTCATATGATTTTGCAATCCGATCACATGAGAATGTTCGGGTCGGAAAAATCCGAACATCCGAACATTGAAATTATAGAAATTAGAGTTATATAATTACATAAAAATTAGGTATGCATATTATAAAGCAACCAATCTGAATAATTCTTCTAAATATAATTTATCAGAAAAATATTACAATTCAAATTCTTTATTATTTAATAATTTCTTAATTTATATTATTTTATTAATCTTATTATATTAATTATCTTATATTATATTTATTTATAAAATATTAATTATTATAAATATCTTTCTTATTTAATTTATTAGTAAAATTCTTTATTATTCTTTATTCAAACTCTTAAATCAAGAGTAAAAGTTAGTTTAATAGATATAGTATTAAAAATAATAATAGTAATATTATTTAGTAAAGATATTAATTTTAATAATAAGCTTATAAATATTATAATATTTATAAATTTAATAAGAGAAAAATTATTTTCTTATAATAAATTTAACTATATTACAACTAATAATATATTATTATAATATTATAAAATAATTTAAAAAGTTATTGAGTTTAATAAAAACTTAATATTTAATTTTGAATTTTACAGAGCAAATACTAAAAAGAATTTTATTTTAATATTTATTATTTAATTAATTAATTAATTTATATTATAATAATTTTGATTAATTATATTTTTTTAATTTAGATTTTTATTTTACACTTTTTATATTATATTTTATCTCTTATATTATATATTTTAAAGATTAATTTTACTTTAAATATATAAATAATTATTATATATTTAATTAATTTAAATTTATATATATTATTATGCAGATAATTATTATATATTTTCTAATTATATATTTTCTAATTATTAATTTAATTAATTAATATTTTTAATTAGAGTTCTTTTAATTATTTCTTTTATATTTTTATTTATTATTATTTATATTATTTATAATTATTACTAATTTATTAGATTATAATTTATTAATTTTTGAAAATATAAATTAAGTTAATTAATTATATTTAATTATATATAATTTAAATTAATAATTTATTTATATTTTATATTTATTTTATTTATATATAAGTTACTTTTACTTTATATTTTATCTTTAAATCTAAATATTATTTAAATTATAAATATTTATAAATTGAAACTATTTATTTTATATTTTTAAATAAATAAGTTTATAACTTAATAATAATAAATATAATTAATTCTTATATTATCTATATTATATAATTATCTTATTATATATTTGAATTATATAAGTTAAAATTATTTTTTTACTTCAAAATATTATAAAAAAAATATAAGTATATTATATTATTATCTTCTTAATTAATATTACTTTATATTAATATTTTAATAAATATAAGATAAATAATAATAATATATTATATAATAAATAAAAAAATTTTATAATTACTTTTAAAGATATCTTCTAATTATTATATTATTAGTAATATTTTTATTATTAACTATATCTTCTTCATTAAATTAGATCTATATAAAATTATAATATCAAATTTAGAAATATAATTAAAAAATTACAAATTTAAATAATTTAAATTAAGTTATATATTTTATAAAAAATCTTAAATTTATTATAAAAATAAAAGTTAATTATTAAGTATTAAAGTTATTAAAAAATATCTAAAAATTAGTTATTTATTATAATATTACCATATATAGATAAAATAAATTATTAGATATATAAAATAGATATAATAATTATTTATATTAATATTAAAATAAAAATTATTAAAATAATTAAAGTAATAATCCTATATTTATAAAATTAGATAAGTAAAAAACTTATATAAAAAGAATAATTAAAAAAATAAGTTTAAAAATATATATTATAATTATGAAAAGTCAGGATATTTTATAAAGAATTATTTTTTAAATTAAAAATTAAAATTATTAATATAAAAAATTCTTAAAAAGAAATATCTTATTAAATTAAAAGAATTAAATTTATATATTTAGAAGATAACTATAAAAGATTATTCAAATTTAATAGTTAAGTAAATAATAAATTAGTTTAAATATTATTTAATAATAAAGTATTAAAAAATTTTATTAATAAAAACTTTATATAAAAGAATAAAATCAAGATATAAAAATTAATTCTATTATTATTAAACTTATAAATAGTAAAAAACTTATAATTATTATTATGACAAGAATTAATAAATTGAAATTAAATATCTATTATATATATAAACTAAATATATAAGTTTTAAAACTGCAAAGATATAATCTAATTCTTAATAAATCTTAATTATTTTATATTAATTTAATTATAAACTAAAAAAAATAATAATATTATCTTTATTTATAAATTAAAAATTATTAAAATTCAAGTAAATAATAAAGTTAAATTAGAATTAAGTTATATTTTAAAATAATAAATTACAAACTTATCAACTAATATAGAATTCTTTATTATTTATCTTAATAATATTAAAGATAAAAAAAATAAAGAAAATTATTTATATTAAAAATATTAGATATTTTTAGAAATTTTATTATAAGAATTATTATTTAAAAAAGTTATATATTATAAAATTAATCTTATATCTAAATTTAAATTATTATTCAGATCAATTTATTAATTTTTTTATTTAAGAAATAACTAATTAATTTCATATTAAAAAATTTTATTTATTCTAGTATTTTACTATTTAAAATATCTATTTTATTTATATATAAGAAAAAAGATATATTGAAATTATATATTAATTATAAAACTTTAAAAAAAATCAAGAATTATTACTTTTTATTTAAAGTTAATAAATTTATAAATAGATTTATAGAATCAAACTATTTTTTAAAGTTAGATTTATATTTAAAATATTATCAAATTCATATAATTAAGAAAAATATATATAAAATTATCTTTAAAATTTACTATAATTATTATAAATTCTTGATTTTATTTTTTAATCTTATTAATATTGTAACCAATTAGCTTATTCGTGTGGCGCAGTAGACGTGGCGCAGTATATGGCGCAGCCGCAGCACGTGGCGC